CTGAGCTCATTGAGCTTCCTTAGAACCATTGTTTGGAACTCAATATCTGATAGTTTACTTGCCTCTATTTCATTTAATTCTGTTTCTGGGGATTCCTCCTTTCCGTTTGGGTGGGGGGTATTTCTTTGTCTTTCCATTATTTGTGAGACTCTTCTTTTTTACTTATGCTTCTTAAGTTGATCCATCTTGATTTCCTGACTTTGTGGTGTGAACTTCTATAGTAGGAGACCGTTGTTTTTACTTTCTGGATCTGCCTCTGATGATGTCAGATGTCGTCCCTGTCTGATCTTAGTCTGTTTGAGACTTCCAGGAATCTGCTGTCTGTAGCTGTCTCCTTCAGCTGTTAATCTAGTCACTCTGCACTCAGCAAGTCGGCTTAGACAGCTCAGGGCGAGGTGGAATCCTACCTAAGGGTGAGGCTATTGGGTCCTCTGACACTGCTGTGGCTCAGGGGGCGTGGTCTCTGCCTGAGCAAGATGGCTGCTGCCGCATAGGGGATGAGTCAGCACCAAGATCCTGCTGGCTACTCTCTCAGTTCCCTCCCCAAAGCCGCCTTCCCCAGTCTCTCCTCAGGTGTCTCTAGCCCACTTTGCCCCCACCTTTGCTGGAGACCATGTTAAGTGGCTACAAATAAAAATATATGCGTTTGCCCTTTAAACGGTTCTTTGCATCTCCAGCCACCGGTCTCTGGCAGAGAGCAACCCTGCCACTTTCCACAGCTGGCTATTTCATGTGTACTTTTTGGGCTGTGGTGCTGTAGGCTAGAGATCCCCGCTTTTGATTTAGACCCCTCTCTTCTCAGGGGGATCCAACTGGCCATTTCAATATCTGACCATGGGTGCCACCCCCTGCCTTCTTAAGTCTCTACCGCGCTCCTTACCGGTTAGGTTGCACTAAAGCCGATTCTTCTGTCTCCCCAATTACAAGGCTCCTCTCTCACTGTTGTTCAGTTGTTTGTTCCAGGTGATTTCTCCACAATTTAGTTGTAATTTCAGGTTGGTCCTGGGAGGAGGTCAGTGTGACTTCCACTCACTCCTCCACCATCTTGATTCCCCTGTGAAGAATTTTAAAAAATAGATTCTAGAAGTGCTAAACGAGAGGCAATGAACGTTTTCTAAGTATCATACTAATTTGTGCTCCTACCAACAACAAATTAAAGTATCTATTTCATAGCACCCTCTGAGGATGGGGAACTGTTTTGTGGACCTAGCAGACTGAAAATTTTCATTGGGAAAGTGAAGAGTGAATGAGTAGGAATGAAAAGAATCATTTCATGGATTTCTCCACTAGATGTCTGATTATTTACCATACAAAGGATATCGAATAGAGTAGATTGAGTTTTTACTGTAGAGTATTATAGCAACATTACTGCAGTAAGCAAAATACCCTTCAGAAAAGAAAGCAGTTTGGCCCTGTTTTCTTATGTGCCTGACTTGAATGCCAGCTTAGTAAATTAATTTGTAACAATGCATAGACTAAGCTACAGCTTCTTGATATATGCCTACTTGGAAAAGTACAGCAGTCAACCAAGAAGTAAAGATGAGTGTGTGGTCCTGAAGAGCAAGATTATTACACTCTCTGAATGAGATACATCCATTTGGAGATTATGGTTAATAGGAATTACATGCTGATGTGAGACTGTAATTTAGACCACCTGTTGTCTAACCTGCAAAAATAAAAGTTTAATTGTATTTCTCCTTGCTTGCATTTATTTGTCTTGATTCCTCTTGCTCCTTCTCAGGAGCATAGTACAACTGAGAAGACCTGGATTTTGAAGATGAAGGGCCTGGGACCCAGGGCAAGTTATCTATAATCTCTCCCAGCCTCAATTTACCCAGCCTGAAAATGGGAATAGCAATGTTTATGTAATTGGGTTGTTGCCAGGATTAAAAGAAACTGTTCAACTTTCAGCACAGGATAGGAATTCGGCCAATGTTTTGTTCCTTTTTCTTTCCTTACTCTAGTAAAATCTCAACTATCTAGAAGCCTTCGGAAAGATAAACATTCTAGGTTAGTGTTGGTTTCAAGTAGCAAAACAGTTACACTCTGCTTTTTATTTTTTAAGTTTTTTTCTATAAAATATTTTTTTCTAAAATATGTCCCATACTTCATTGCTTCCTTCCTAAATCATTGTACTATAGCATGGGTATTTATAGGCAGTGTGAAACATAGGGCCAAAGCCTCTCTTTCTCTCTTGAGATTGCTAAAATCTACTGGCTGGCATGCAGCCCAGCCCTCTTTATGGCTGGCTGTTCTCTGTGGTCTAAAATATCTGCCACTTGCCACCACTGTCACAGCTTCTAATTTCTGCTGGCTGCTGCTATTGCTGCCCATTCTTTCTTCTAATTACCATTAGGCTTTGCTGCCCCTCTTACCATTTCTGCTCTCTACGCCTTGCTTTCCTCCACTTTTCTCTTCCCGTGTCTCTTCTGCCTCCCATTGCATCTCATATTTCATAGACAAAGACTAACTTTGCATTGCTTTCTCAAACCAGCAAGAAGAATCCTTCTCTACAGTGAGCCAACTAGTCATACATGTTTAATATGCTCCTTACCAGCACTGCACCCCAAGACTCTGGGCCCTGTTCAGGGTACTGGAGAATGCCAAAAACTCAAGTCCCTGGATGAGTGAGGTGTAACTATATTGGCTTTCCTGCAAGTAGTTTATTTTGTTAGTCTTATTTGAGTCTTATTTTATGCAAAGTTTTGTGCTAAATGCAAGAGGTAAAGGAAATAGGGGCTATCAGCTTAAACTATGCCACAATCCTTACCTTCAAAAGAGCAGAACACAAACATACTCATAGGATTCAAGGTAAAAGATGAGAGAAAATTTAAGTAAGGATTGTGAAGGCTCATGGTTTGCTTAACGTTAGAAAGAAGAGTGGCTGCTTTTCAACCCACTGTCAGAGAAGTGGGTGAAAGTTTAGAGCCCTACAGGAGCCAGAACAGAGGGCCAGGCCTGCTGGAGAGGAACCGCCGTGGCTCCCCCTGCTTTAAAGGCGACGGTAAAGAACCACGTAGTGGGGGTCATAGGGACACTTTTCCTTTTCTTATTTGAGAGCCTGGGTTTTAAATTTCCTATATTATTTTGTCATCTGTGTTCCTTAGGAAGTTTTACTTATTTGGACAGAAAGGATATGGAGGTGTAGTGTAGGGGTTGCACATTTCTATGCTTTCGTACTTTGAATTTTAAGCATGGTTGAATTTGTCCCCATTTTAACTTTATTGTGCGATTTTGTTTATTTTTAATTCAACTGAGTATTTTTATTTTACCCTAGTGTATAATCCCTTACAAAGATTTCAAATGTATGACCGATTTTAATTTATTGGAATTGTTTTTGCTGCTGTTTATAACAACTCCATATTTATTATATCTGAACATTTCTTTTAAGCTAAAACAGAAAGGAAAAGCATAAATAACCATGACAAACAACCTCTTCTGGTGTGGTCATTTGAAATGAAACAACCAAAAAAATTTAATCAACTTAAATTTAGAAAAATTAGCTGATATAAGTTGTAAACCAGATGAGTAAAAGCTTTCACTTACTCATTCTTGACATTCAATTCCATTTATTCTTTGTAATATATTTTAAAACAGAATGTTTATAAAGACTAAGGTTTGGATTTCTATATCCTGCTTTGAGGTTACCAAGAAAAAAATGTTTGGAGTCATATTCCTGCTTTAATACAAATTACACTTTAACATACAAAGAGGAATAGCAGGTAAAGATTTTGTAGACACAAGATGATGGGTTTTATTAAAGCATCATAATCATAATAGTAAGAGTATTGTAATATAGTAGTTGATTTTAAATAATTATAAATAATGATTAAAAACTAGAGAGGGTTTCTATTAGTTATAATCGCCAAGTTCATTGATCAAACATGTCTTGAGTACTTATTATGTGCTAGGCATACGAAGGGGAATGAAAGAATAATTTACATTTGGGTCCCTAAAGACTACAATTTGATTTGAGAGTAATTTCAAATAACTGTTCTTCTTTGTTTCACCCAAATACCTGTTCTTATACATGTCAAGGTAGTTAGACATATAAACAACTCAGAATTGAGGAAAATTCTTGATGTCTTTTTAAAGTGCTTTTTCCTAGCACTCTTGGATGACAGAAAAGATAATAGAATTAGAAGACAACTTGGTTGTCCTCCTGTCTTTTTATTCCCCACTTGCCAATCAGTTCTGCGACTGGTCATGGTTGTTATGTTCATATCCCCACTCTAATTGATTTCTGGGTGGACATGCTCAAAGATGAAAGATCAAAAATCTCAATATCTCACATTAAACACTCTAACACTTCAGCCCGCAGCATCTGAACTCAAAAGCCTCAAATTAGGCATGGTGATCTGAAGAACATGGCAAACAAGAACTGATGCGGTGGGGTGGGGTAACCCTCTCAGGCTTGTAATTGTGAAGAGCCGTTTATAAGTAATCCTGTTTTAATTGGTTGGCTAAGGTTTTATTGGAAATAGCTAATAATGGTAATTGCTGAAAGATGTTTGTAAACATATAGATGGTATTCCAATTCAGAGAGAGTACAAATGAATATTAACTTTTTCCTATTGCATGCATGCTCAAAGGATGATGTACCAATTATCAGAAAAACCTGCCGACAGGTGTTTTACTCTCTAAAGATGCCAGTTAAATAGGTGGTACTGTACCTACTTTTTTTTTTTTTTTCAAGGAAAGAGTATGCCTATAACCTTTAACTCAAGGCTTAACTCATGTATCTAGAAAAATTCTTAGAAAGATAATAATAAAATACATTTGCAAACTTCTAAATTGTCAAGTTAGTTTAATCATATTCTATTACAGGGTCACAGCTCTCATAGATAAAGAGAGGAGGTACCTCTAAGCTTAGAAATAATATTAAAAATTACCCCAAATTACATTAGTAATAATTTTTATCACTTCTAATACCTCATCACCAGTTTCCACACTTCTGCAGTAACTTAAACCTCTAAATGTATTTTTTGTTTCTTTTATAGGACAATGAAGGTCAGACTGCTCTACATTACGGTAAGGTGTTTCTAAATTATTAATAATCATTTGAAACTTCTCTCTATATGTTTATCTCAACTTTGCCCAACAATATCTAGTACTTAGAAAAATGCCTGGCCACTAGCAGGGATACAGTAACTTTCTGTTTAAAAAACAGATTAATAACCTCTAACGTTGGAGATACACTAAAATTCTTATGGGCACATTCATAGTAAATTGAGCATTTCTGTACTATCAACAGAAATGAAGGCTCCTCCAACCCCCCTTTGAAAATTTTATTCTTTTTACTGTCAGTGACAACTAAGGTGCTAATCATTGGTACTGTAGGAGCGATAATCTGTACTGCAAGTAACTTTCTCGATGTAATTTAAGTGAAGAAAACTAGATTTTATTTTTTTAACTCATTTCCCCTACTAACTAATTAGCCTTGTTAAGTAATCTTCATTTAAATCACCTATAAAATAGAGGATAATATATAAGATGGAAATAATGGTTTTAAAGAACTACTGGGTAAATTTAGTGAGATAAAATATAAGGTATTTTGTAAACTGTACAGTACTAGTAAAAGTATTTTTACTTTTCTTCTATTTGGGTGTGAATATGGCTGAATAAAAGACCGCCATCAATGCTTAAATCAGATTAAGGGCCAACCCCCTTCAGACCTTTTTGGAGGGAATACCTAAAGCTGTGTTGCCAGCTTTGGCCGCCCCAGGTTGCCATTCAGGAGTAAGTAGCCCAAATGCTGCTGAGCGCTTATGGCTGCCGCTTGGCATTTGTTGGGATGCCAGGAGCCTCTCTGAGCTGTCTAGGAGTCTAGATTATTGGGCCAGCTGTTGTGGTAACTCATCAGCCTGATAATAACCTAGTGTAACCTGGGTGCCATGAAACAGCAGGAAAAAGGAAAATTGTAAGTCAATCCTACTTTTGAACATTTATGCAGAAATCCTAAATAAAATCTATTTAAAAATAAAGGTACATTATGATCCAGTTGATTTCATCCCAGGAATTCAAAAATGATTTAACATTTTTAAAAATTCACTAATGTAATTTTCCACATTAACAAATTATGTGAAAAACTGTATGGTCAAATCAAATGCAAAAAAAGCACTTGAAGAAATTCGATGCTTATTCTAAGAAGCAATATGGAAAGTGATTAAGATGCTGGGCTCTGAAGTGAGACCTCTGGATTCAAATTCTAGCTCTGCTACTAAACGTGGGTCAAGTATTTAACTTTACTGTATCTACTTACTCATAGGAAATGGGGATAATAACCTCAGAGGGTTGTTATGAACATATAGTGAGTTAATCCATGTTAAGTGCTTAGCACAATGTCTAACACCATGGTATATACTTAGTAAATGTTAGGAAATATTATTGTTTATGATAAAACTTTTTTTCATTTTTTTATTGTTTTCCAAGTACAGTTGTCTCTATTTTCCCGCCACCACTTTCCCCTGCCTCACCCACCCCCACCTCCCACCCTCAATCTTTCTCTACCTTTGACATTGTCCATGGGTCCTTTATACATGTTCCTTGATGTCCCGTCCCCTTCTTTCCCACATTATCCACCCCCCTCTTCTGGTTACTGTCAGTTAGTTCTTTATTTCAATGTCATTGGTTATATTTTGCTTGTTTGTTTTGTTGATTAGTTTCCACTTATAGGTGAGATCAAATGGTATTTGTCTTTTACCCCCTGGCTTATTGCGCTTAGCATAATGCTCTCCAGTTCCATCCATGCTGTCTTGAAGGGTAGTAGTTCTTCCTTGCTTTCTGCTATGTAATATTCCATTGTGTAAATGTACCATAGTTTTTTGATCCACTCATTTACTGTTGGGCACTTAGGCTGTTTCCAATACTTTGCTATTTTAAATTGTGCTGCTAAGGACATTGAGGTGCATAGGTTCTTTTGAATTGGTGTTTCAGGATTCTTAGAGTATAATCCCAGTAGTGGAATTGCCGGGTCAAAAGGAAGTTCCATTTTTAGTTTTGTGAAGAAATTCCATACTGTCTGCATTCCCAGCAACAGTGTACTAGGGTTTCCTTTTCTCCACAACCTCACCAGCACTTGTTGTTTGTTGATTTGTTTATCATGGCCATTCTGACTAGTGTGAAGTAGTATATGTCAGTAGTATATGATAAAACTCTTAATTAACCAGGAAAAGAAGGGAAATTCTACAGCCTGATTAAGCTATATGTCCACAACCTAATACAAACATTATTATTAAAGATGGAATATTTAAAGCGTTTTCTTTAAAATCAGAAACAAGAAAAAGTTGCCTACCACAACTATTTCTCTTTAATATTGTATTAGAATTCTAAACTACACAGAAAGGAAAGCAAAAGAAATAACAGTTATGTGGGATGGGTAGAAAGAAGAAACAAGAAGAGAGATTTGTTCTCCCAAAAAACAAGATGTTGTTTGAAAGCTGTAATAATGAAGGCAGAGGCCAGCTTCTGCCTCGACAGTGCAGGACACGCCACTGACCTGCTTCCCTGTGAAATAGTCAAAAATGTTTTCAAAAAATACAACCATTTAAAACATCTAGAAATGGTCCTAAGGACACATAGCAAATGAAGAAACATCTAGTCAAGAGAACCTGTGAAAATCTGGAAAGAAGGCAAGCTTCTGTGATATTTGAAACAAGATCACCCCCTCCTTTTCCCTCCCCAGCTTAGCAGGGTGAAGACTCTCCTCCAGAGCACAGGAGCCAGAACACAGGCTCCCAGGCCGGGGGTTTTCTTCCTGGGAGTGGGGGACTTCAGCGTTCCTCATCCTGCTTCCAGCCGCCTTTCACTGGGGCCAAGTCCTGGGCAAATGCAGAGAAAACACACAAAATACCAAAAGTACAAATCATAATTTAAGTTGTGATGATTATGTTAAAATTTTAAACTTCTATAAAAATGAAAGGTAGTATAAGCAAAGTAAAAATACAAGCTACAGACTGGGAGAAGGTGTTTAAAACAGCCTACATAAGATCATTCAGAATATATCAAGAACATCTACCCAGTCAATAAGGAAGCTAAACAAATAGAAAAATACACACCTCAAAGTATGGATAGTCAGTTCACAAATGGAAAGAGCCAAATAGCCAATAAATAACAAGAAAAGATGCTCAGCCTCACTAACAACTATTAATAGTCTAGGATTATACCCTACTTGCATGCTAACAGGTTAGCCTGACACGGTTTCGTGGATGCTGGCAAAAGACACAGAACTCCTGGATCAGAGACAAAAGACTTATGAATGGCACAGCCTGAGCCTCACAGGGGCTGTGCAGAGAAGCCCAGGTGGATCCTGCACAGTGTGTCGTAACTCAGGAATCCTAAGCCTAGAGAACTCCAGTCTTTTATAATGAGCTGTGTGCAAACAGACCTGCCCAACCTTTGCCCTGGAGAACATACTCTCTTCATTATACCGGACAGTAAACAAACCTGCCCTCTACCCTAGAAGGAAACACTATGTCTGTTCACTCTGCAAACATCCTTGAAAAGATAGTTCAGAACAAAATCTGTCATTACCTCTGTTTAGAAGAGGTGCAGAAACACAAAAGCCCTTGGAGAATTGTATCCCAACAATAATCATGGGATGCCGACTAAAACATTTAGATGTAATTTCACACTGCACACTGGCACTATGTCTACTAATATTAGGTTAGGATACAGAGCAACACGAACTCTCATACACTACTGATAGGAGTATCAACTGTTGAAACTACTTTGGAAATCAGTTTGGCAAGATCTAGTAAAGTCTACAACCCAGCAAGTCTGCTTCTAGATATATGAGGTCTGTCCAGAAGGTATCCAGCCATATGGTACGAAAAATAGAGACATTTACTGAAGAAGATAACAAGAAACATTGTACATAGGACAATGATGTCTCAGTCCCCTTCAAAGTAGGCACCTTGGGACCTCACACAGTTCTCCCAATCACCATCAGATGCCCTGTCATATTCTCCTGAATCTCATCAATGGTCTGAAATCTCTTCCCTTTCAAAAGTGATTTTAGTTTTGGGAAAAGGCAGAAGTCTCAGGGCACCAAATCTGGGCTGAGTCACCTGGGTGATTTGATGTTTAACCAGAAAACTCCGCAGGAGTTGTGATGCATGAGTGAGCATGTTGTCTTCATGAAACTGCCAATCACCAGTTGCACGTGGTTATGGACTTCTGATTCATCTGAATAGTTTCCATGGAGGAATGTTCAAGCTTAAAACATAATTTGATGCAGATCTGTTTCTCTACTCACTCATTTTGAATGTGACGGCCACACAGTACACATGCTCACTCAACAGCGTCTACCACCCTCACTGACTGAGTACAGTGAAGTCTTCATTGTTCATATATGAGCATTCCAGTCCACTCTCCTTGGCTGCCAGGTTACATCGATGTCACACAAACCATTCTCATTATATTAACAATGGATGGATTTTTTCCAGACAGACCTCATTTACATTAGAAATACTGCTGTAAATGTATATAATGAGACATGATTAAGAACATTTATGGCAGCATTATTTGTAATCACCAAAAAATTGTTTTATTAATCTTTATAGTCCTCTCCATGCTGTATTTAAAATACTTGTTATTTAAAATTACAGATGTATACACACACATATACACACATACATATTTCATTACCAAATACCTTTGAAAGGTATACCATTAAAAATGTGCATATCCAGTATACAGGTAATCTCTAGGCTCCTTTCCATAAACAGCCCTCTAGAGTAGTTGTTATTTTTCCCATTTTATAAATAAGGAAACCCAAACCCGAAGAAGTTAGTAACTCACCCAGCAATGCACTTACTAGGTGAGGAGAGAACGAGTGCCTTCCTGTGCCTCCCCCCACAGCGCTCACCCCTCGCACTCCTTGGACGTGTTTCTGTGATAACCCATCGAGTAGTTCTTCCAACACACCAAGAGCTGGCCATTCCAGATCCTAATTTTCAACCCAGAAAAAAATCTCAGCCACCTCCACAGCTGTGATGCAGTCGGGCAACCAGGCATAAATCAAGCAGCCA